TAGAAGAACAAAAAGTATAGCTCATTGGGACTGCTTTTCATACCCCTTTTTTCCTCATGAGGGTAACATGTCTATATGCTCATTCAGGTGAATAGAGGGATAGTAACATTAGGCTTTTACTATGGTTTGTTTTCCATCGTTTCCACACGATAGGTAACATGTTACACTTACCGACTGCCTGCAGGTGAATCCCTGATTATTGGAAGCGCCTCTTTTGATGGAATAGAGACAAGAGTGGTGACAGCAAGGCGGGCTAATGTTAACAACATTTTCAGATTGACATCAATGCAGGAGGAGGACCAAAATCACACTTTGATTTGTTGGCAGGTTTTAATTAAAGCCCAGCAACAACAACAACATGTTGAAACATGATCAAGGCAGGTTTCCAAGGTGATGACTCCTCAAAAAAACAAATAGATGTTTTGTTGATCTTATTCTAATTTAATGTATTGTAATGTGATCTATTCTACTTAAAAGGATCAATCAAGGGCCAAATGTTAAATGATAAATCAAGATAACCTTTTTTTACTCTGAATAAAATCTAAACTGTCATCACTTTATTCAGAAAACCTTATCTCCTACTTCCTATGGAGGTATCATTGGTCTATTGGATTAAAGCCATCCCCCATCCGCCAGTAACCTGGAGGTTATTTTTTACACTGCTTCTAACTTTTTATTGTCAGCGTTGTATTGTAATTACACTGTCACAAGTACAGAGCAACAAAATGAGCTCTCTGCATTTAACACATCCCCTTGGGGAGCAGGTCGGCTGCCATTGTAAGGCACCCGGGGAGCAGTGTGGGGTTAAGGGACCCATAGTGGTGGTCTGTGGGAGTGGAGCTTAAACTCAGAACCTCTGGATCCTGAGCTCAATGTCATAACCATTAGGTTGTGACAAGCAGGCTAGCCATATTAGAAAGACAAGTTCGTAAAATAAAAAATTGTCTCGACCAATTTAAGACGGATACATTCAGTCTTATTTTGACCGATGCAACTCACTGTGTAAATCCATTCTAACCAAGTCCGTTCTGCTTTTTCTTCTGCAGAATAATTTATTCGAAGCCGTAAGAATGTTCTACTAGGTATTAATCGAGGGATGTTTCTACTTCTTGTGGATCTACGGCAAAATCTCAAAGAAATATATAGAGTTAAGGATAAATTAATGGGACAAATTTGTTTAGAAAGAGTTAAATTGCATTAAGAAAAACTTTCTTAGAAAAAAGATTTCACAAACATCATTGCTACTAATAAAAGTGCTCCTCTTTTTACACTGGAACCAGCAAAAAACCAAAATAACAGTTTACGGGAAAATAAAGAAAGAATACAGGAGGAAATCATTTTACTGTTTTTCACAGCTGTGTTCTGAGATTACAGAAGCTCAGCAGTATAAAAAGTTACGATAGCTAAATGAAGATCTAACTTTATTAGTCAGAGCAATACTTTCACACTCCTGTGCTGCAAAAAATATCACCTCACGTGCCAAGATCTGCATTGAGGAGGCAACTCGTCTCTATAGAGTTTGGTGATGAGAGTCTGTGTGTTAGTGAGTGAGGGAGAGAGAGAGAGAGCTCTCCTGGGTATAGCACTGCTGCTGCAGCCCTGCACCAAAGAGATAAGACCACCGCCTCACAGAAGCCGGTTTCTTGGGAATTTGAAGGCTGCCATCAAAGTCCAGTGGTGACACAAAGCGCCATCCTTCATCCAGTTACGACTGGCTCAATCACCAATCCAAACTGTCCTGTACTTCACACTGTAGTGTCACTTCAAGTGGAAGAGGGAAATGGTGACAACTGACTGCATGCTGTATGTGTGCTCCTGTCATTGTAAGCACAACCAGGGCAATGCTATAGAGGCCTGTGGACCTACTGCTGTGCAACAGCAAGCAGCGGGCTTGTAATTCCCGGCCTCCTCCTTTCATCTTGATTAGCGCTTATCAGGGCGTTGCAGGCTGCAGCGTCCCTGCCCAGCTGTCCACACTGCCACACAGAACCCGTCTTCGTCGCTCCTCCTCATAACAGCCACGTAAGCTGATGTACGCTGTGTGCAGCTCAGCTCAGCATCATCTGACTTTGACACAGCTGTCCTTCTGATTTTTGTCGGATATAATGGACAAATACACAGGAAAAAATGGCATCAAGCTGTCACTAAAAAGTTATCTTCACAACTCTAACATCTTTCAGGTATCACCAACATGGCAGAAATGCTTATTGATACAGGACCTGGACGTTAAAATGAATAAATATGGTCTAATGTGTCTTTGCTTTGTTGTGGTACAGCAATGTAGTTAAATTATCCAAAGGTTGATAAATAAACTAGAAAAAATTTCTTATACAAAGTGTAAGATCTCTTACTGCCCTCAAAATCCAATATGGCTGTCTCATATTAAATACAAAGCTGCCACAGTAAACTCTTATTTAGCCCTTGTGATGTTTTGGATTTTATTTATTATTTTAAATGCAAAACAATGTAAACTCTTTTGTAATTTGTTCATTTAGAGATGAATACATGTAATGCAATGATGGCTGTTATTAGCCTGTATTGCTAATAGCTAGTTTATGAAGGAGCACAGCAGATAGAATGTCCTGCTCTTTTTCTTTTTAAACTTGAAACTGAAGCCTAGTTAAGTTGGGTTTAGGGTTATTTACAGATCCAGGTTCTGACATTATTGGTTAAGTAAGAGACTATCATCAATTTTACTTGGTTATTTTGGGTTAGTGAAACATCAACCATTGCAATCCTTTGACAGTATATGGGAACCATTTGAATCTCTAGTTACTGAGTGGGCCTAATCTTCCCATGGGATTCCTGTGTGGAGCCAAGAGTTAAATAAATACAAACAACGTCAGGATACAATTCAACCAGATCATACAGTCAAATTGGTTCAAAATGTTCTATCTAAGGTAAACCAGTTGATTGCATCGACTCATTGACTCGAATGCAATCCCTCACACCAAGCATGCTTGGAACGACAGTGGAGAGGAAAAACTCTCTTTTAACAGGAACAAACCTCCAGCAGAATCAGGCTCAGTGTGGTACTTGGGGCCAATAGCTAGTTGGTTAATGCAGAGGTGGTTAACCAGGGCACAGAAAGTAGACCTGTAAACCCTTCTTACTGTTCACTTAACCAGGTAGTTAGCCTCCAGTCTATGTGGACCTGGATTATCCAAGTTAGTTAGTTAGTTAGAAGAAAAAAAACCACCAGGAACAACCTGGCAGAGAGCTGGGTAACAGTCTGGTTTTGATTTCCCATTTGACTGATGGTAGCTGCTCAAAACTTTCATGAGGGGGTCTGAAGGGTTTCTGATAATGTTAAGAAATGTGTACTTTCTGCTCCGAAGCACACAGTGGATGGGAAGTAGCAATACTACAATGATATATGCCATTATTTTTTTGCAGGGCATTTAAAATAACAGTTAAGACTTTGTCTTACATTGGGTATATTTTTGGATGTAGAGCTTCCTGATGTGAAATCTACATAGACAGCCACCTCAGGGGCTTTATGTATAATGTGGGTTATCCCATCCTGGGCCTATTTTTCTGCACATTTCTTATTTGTGTGAGACCCATGCATATTTTTCAAAGAATTAAAGCTAAGGAAACCATACATTTTTTTTAACTTTATAAACAATTTATATATATTTTTTAAAGATATAGTCTATCAGCCCTATATGAAAGTAACAAGCCGTGTATTTACCTTGTACATGGATAACACCAACTTTCTCACAGTACCCTATAAAAGCCCTCCTCACTTTACTTTGGCCTTATTCAATAAAATTGATAAACATTTGATAAATCCAATCTTAGTTTTCACCTAGAAAGATCTATCACCTGAGTGTCTGATTAAAGAAGATATTTAAGCCGTTCTATTGTTTCCTGATCATCAATGTCATAAAAGGTTTACTGAGGTTGACAGTGTTGACTTTAGCTATATTCATCAGTTTATTTCTGTTGGCTTTATTCACAGAATTTATTACTTGAATAATCCTGGCTGGGAATTAAATGTTTAGAGTGATGGTTGATCTAATAAATAAATTTTTTTCCACACAGCTGTCATGATCCATGTATTTATTTGCATCTGGGCTAACTGATGCAGTTTATCAGTGCCCCCATCTACCATTTCTTAGGAATAAACTCTCTAACTGTTGTGGTTTCTTAAAAGGCTGTAAAAAGCTGTGTTACATGACACTAAGGCTTTTTCCTAACTGTTTTTCTCCCCTGATTTCCCTGAAAACTAAATGAACCAAGAGAGAGGAAATTTGGGGAGCTGTTTTGACTACCAAATGAATGGCACAGTATCAGGCTTGTGCGCTGCCAGTCCATGTCCAGACCATATCTCTCCCCTATGATTGCTGCTCCTTTCCCGATTTGCATTACTGCGCTTCACTCCAAGCTTTGCCTGGACCACAAAGAAATTGAGTCTTTGCATTTTACCCCTGCGTTGTTCAAACGTTTCTCTCAAACTCTTTTCCATGTGGGCTCGCTCTTATCTGGGGCTGTATGCACATTTCATCAACAGACACAGAGAAACCTCCCATGGTAGGTTCTCGCTGCCCGGCATGGAGCTTGCTCCCAAGTGGCATCCTTCTCATTGCATCTGCCCCAGCATGCAAAGCCCACTATAAAATAAACCCACCTCATCCAGTATTTCTGTCCATCACCTGGAGCAGCTTGATAACAGCCGTGGTTTGGCGCTTTTTTATTCGTGGTGGGAATCATCTGTGATGAGTGCATGTTATCAAGGCTATGCAAGCAGCACACAGGGACACAGAGGAAGAGCAGAGGAACTAAGATTTAGAACGGCCTTCCAGTGCCACAAACCCTCTGATGATAACAAGGACGATTTGTATTTCGTCAATAAATGACACAGTTAAATGTGATTTTCTTTTTTTCCCCTGTTGCTGTAAATATGTAACATCTGCCATCATGCAAGCCCTTTCTCTGTGGACCAGAGAGGTGTGTCCTTTAAAAAAAAAGTTGTCTCCAACCCCTCCCACAGACTCGTAAGCCCTAAACTTTGCTACTGGTTGAAGAAGTTGTTCTTGTAGCCATCAGCCTGCGGCGAGACAGTTAGTCAGACGAGCAGGCCATCATCAACAGAGGTTCTAGAAATTTGGTGAACATCCACTCTGGTAGGTGACCTCTGTATGTCGGATTGATGTTCTTGAGGTGTCTGCATAATTGTTCTGCTTGGGTGTACCAGGGTTTGCTAAAAAGGAAGACAAAGCTTTCACTGTAGGATTTACATGCTGATTGCCTGGGGGCCAATTTTAGTCTTCGTCATTATTCATGTGAAAACTAAAACCAACTCTGTTTCCTACGGAGTATATTTTTCTGGCCTTGTGTTTAGTTTTTTTGTTTTTTATTGACATTTGGATTAATTATTTTGTGTTCTTATATTAATTCTATATCTGTAACACTTACTGTTCATGAAGTGTAAATCTGTGTTATTATCAGTATGCATTGAGATGTATTTATGTAGAAGCTCTCCATCTAGTCACCTGCTTTGCTGACTTTTTTTTTTTTTTTGCCCATCCAACCACGGCATGCTGTCTCACCCTTAGATGCCTTTACACTTTTACCATCATATTTTTTTTACTAAGATCATACTTTTTTATTGTTTATTAGGAAGTTGAGGGGCTGTTCAATTGAAGCTGAACATACTAAGAATTATATTAATGGGGAAAATCAGATTTTCTCAACGGCTAACAGCCACTTTTATTTTTGCTTTTCTGTATATATGCTGATCGAGAGTGGCCTGGACATTTACTATCACTTCTTTTTCATCTCTTTATAAATGTTTTTATGTTAACTGGAAGAGCGATAGCTTTAACTATCTGTGCAGGCTGTTTATGAGTCCAGCTGAAACGAAAAACGAAATCTGCCCCCACTCTGAACTTTTTTTTTTTTCATGTGTCACTTTCTTCACTGTCCTGGTGAAGAGAGAGCTGAGCGAAGAGGCAAAGCTCTCAATTTACCGGTCGGTCTACGTTCCTACCCTCACCTATGGTCATGAAATTTGGATCATGACCGAAAGAACGAGATCCCGGATACAAGCGGCTGAAATGAGCTTTCTCCGCAGGGTGGCTGGGCTCTCCCTTAGAGATAGGGTGAGGAGCTCGGTCATTCGGGAGAGGCTCAGTGTAGAGCCGGTTCTCCTCCACATCGAGAGGAGTCAGTTGAGGTGGTTCAGACATCTTCTTCGGATGCCCCCTGGAACACCTCCCTCGGGAGGTGTTCCAGGCATGTCCCACCGGGGGGAGGCCCAGGGGACGGCCCAGGACACGCTGGAGAGACTATGTCTCTCGGCTGGCCTGGGAGCGCCTAGGGCTTCCCCCAACAGAGCTGGAGGAGGTGTCTGCGGAGAGGGAAGTCTGGGAGTCTCTGCTTAGTCTGCTGCCCCCGCGACCCGGTTCCGGATAAAGCGGGAGACGACGAGACGAGAGACGAGACTTTCATCACATAGGGTGTCCCCTCGGGCATATCTTTAGCATACGTCTAACCGGCACACCTATCATGTTTAAGACCACCTAGTAACCGTTCGGTCACTGGCTGCATCACTACTTTTAAAGTGCCGGTTATTTTTAGTTGTTACTTTCAGCCACAGTCAAATGAGGATCCTAGAAAAGGAAGTTTGAAAAAGCCTGCTGTCGAGAGATCTTGTCCCTGATAACTTCAAGTTGCACTTGTTTGTCGTGTTAGCTAAGTGTTGCCAGAGATGCTGCATTATCTGATCAATCCGAGTCACCTGTGGTGGCAGAGCTGTGCAGAGGGAGGAAGGGTGGTGCCGGAAATAACAGGATAAAAAAATGATCAATCTGTTTTATTTCTGCTTTTCTTCAGGGTAAACTTTATCTCCTGTGAACATGGAGGATTCGTCAGATCAGTCCCACTGGGCGTCTCCCACTCTGCTCAGCTCTGACCCCCTTGCTGGTTTCTCCTCTGATCCGGGCCTGTTGGCTTCTGGAGAAGAAGGAGAAGCCTTTTTCTCTGGTACAGACACCGACTATGTTGGGCTTTCCTCATTCTTCCCTAACCCCAGCCACAGCCGAGCTCCGTCCAGCTACAGACACAGCTCTGGTGAGCACTGAAAAAGTCCCTCTTTATCCCCTAAACCAAGATTTGATTCTCTCATTCTTGTTTTGCTTTTAAAGTCCGGCAGGTGTACACCTCCCCCAGTCTTCTCAGTAATCTCCAGCTACTGGATGGGTCCTCCAACCACCCTCTGAGTGTACCCTACAACTCTGCAGCACCCACCTGGAGCAGCAGTCCCCTCACCAAGACGCCACTCCACCTCCACACCCCAACCTCCCTCTACACCCCTGGGGTCTCCTCCTCCTTCACCACCTCCAGAGACGGGTACTCGTCTCCTGGAAGAGAAGGAAGAGAGAGTCCCCGTCTTCAGGAGGCCCTCAAAGCAGAGCGTCTTAGTCCCCTGGGGGGTTCAGGGGCCAGCAGCAACTTTCTAAATCTGACTCCTGCAGCAGGGAGCATGTACACCCAATCATCACACTCACATTCACACATGCTGAGCCCCTACAGCTCCTACATGAGCGGGCCCCAGGAGTACAGCTCCGCAGCCCTCTACTCCGGCGCTGGAGCATGGATCAGCCCCTCCTATTCGCCGAAACTTCGAAACAAGATGAGGGCAACCACTCCAGGTGAGAATCAACACAAACCTCATGGTTCTGATATTTTCACTACAATTCAGGAAAAAATATCAAACATACAAAAAGCCAACCATTATTCCTGCTTCTGTTATAACAAAAAAATTTGTGAAAATATAATGTTATGCAAAAATAAGTTGCTTTTTTATTGTAATTCCTAGATTTAAGCAAAAATCTTGAAATCAATCTTTTTTCCCCCAAACCTGAGATATTTTCTAAACTGACATTTTTTTGTTAGTGTAAAAAACGTGTAGGAGCCTCCTTTTAGTCATTTGTTTGACAGTGCAAAGGTGCACTTTGATTCGGTTTATTTTTAAAGTACAAATTTGAAAATAATGATATTTTAAGAAACATTTGAACTGAAATGAATCTAATTCATATGCGGTTTATGAGAAAAATAAAAAAAATCAGTAAAATCTAACGGCCAATGCTTTAAATGCGTTCAACATTTATCCATGTTTTGGGTTGTTTGTTTATTCCGTTTGGTTAAAAAGTTTATTTCCCAAAAGAAGCCAAATGGATAGCATCAATTTATTTGCTTAACAGCAATCCTTCCTCTTGAGCAAGTAGGTGGCGACAGTGGAGAGAAAAATGTCCTTTTAACTGGAAATAACCTCCACCAGAACTAGACTAGTTAAAGCAACACTTTGGGGTTACTGACTGGGGTTGAGAGGACAGGAAGCAGGGGGGGGAGGGGGAATTAAACTTTATTCACTCACATGACGCTAAAATATTCTTCCACATTAATATAAAAGGAACAGAAGGTTTTTCTCTTGAAGCTGTATGTTTTTCCCACCTTTGTGTAACTCGATACTGTTGGCTGGCCCATGTGTTTTTTTTTTTAACACATGATCTCTACAGTTTGATGAAATATCCTGATTAAAAAAAAGAGATTTCAGACAAAGCATGAAAATTAAAAGACAGTGTTGTCATTTTCTCAACAACTCACCAAAGCAGCTCCAGGAAGACAGTGACTGAGACTTCAAGATCTTTCATATTTTTTTTAACTCAAATTCTGGACCCAGTAAAACAAATCAAAATTTTTATGCTTAATGAAAAACCTCCACTTTCTTTTGTAAACAGAGGCCAGAGAGTGCGTAAACTGCGGAGCCACTGCAACGCCTCTGTGGCGCCGCGACGGTACAGGCCACTACCTGTGTAACGCCTGCGGACTGTACCACAAGATGAATGGCCAGAACCGACCCTTGATCCGACCCAAGAAGAGACTGGTAGGACTCTAAGTAGTTTGCTACTTTTCTGAGATGTAAAACCATATCTGATTCTATAGAAACATTGATGGTGTTCCCTTCTCTGTGTTTCAGATTGTGAGTAAGCGTGCTGGTACCCTCTGTGCCAACTGTCACACCAGCACAACAACACTGTGGAGGCGCAATGCCAACGGAGAGCCCGTATGCAACGCCTGCGGTCTCTACTTCAAACTGCACAACGTAAGGCCCACATGAGGACAAAAACAGCAATCATGTTCAGAGCCAGAGTCCTGCAGTGTGTTTTAATACCTCTCGTCTTTTACCAGGTAAATAGACCCCTCACCATGAAGAAGGAAGGCATCCAGACTCGCAACAGAAAAGTCTCCAGCAAGAACAAGAAGAGCAAGAAGGCGGCCTTGCTGGAGCAGTACTCAGACGGGGTCCAACCGCCCCCCCTGGATGATAACGGTGGACCCTTTTCCCTCGGCCCTGGGACCCTCCTGACCTACAGCCACACACCACACCTCATCCCAACCCCAACCCCTCTGCACCCCTCTAGCAGCCTACCCTACCAACACCATCTCAACTCCGGCATGGTGCCCACTCTAGTGTGATCGAACGGCAGCTAGTGTGCTTTTTTTGGCTTTGTACATAAAGAATGTCCTATGAATGAGGATTTTGTTTACTTTCACTGTATTTTATCATATTTTGTTGATTATTATCGTGTGAGGCATGTAACCCCTGCCTGCTGATGAGAGATTCACTCTGCTGTAAATACAAACAAGCATCTGATTTTTTCCAGGTATCTGCTTGGGGATTGTTCACTTTCTCTCCGTAATGTGAAGTTACATATTAGTTATAATGTCTTTGGTTCTCTGTTATGTATTTGCATAGATGAAATAAAGTGCAGAGAGAAGAATAAAATGTTTGACTTATGGCTGACTGATGGAGGGGTTTTGTTTTAAGTCATTTGAATTCCCAGCTCTGTGGCCTGGCCTAAGCGTTGGCTCCTGTGTGCTGGTATTGTACTCCTCTGCACTGGCATAGTGGTGCCTTTGTGCAGACACTGATCCACTTTGACAGTGTAATTGTACATAGCCGCTATGCAAATCCCCAATTCCGCAGAAGTGACAAACACTCAACTAAAGTGAAACACTTACACCTGCTTGGACGCTTTGACCAGTAGGCCCGTTGAGGAACAACTGGGCATGTGTCTCACAAACACACATCTCATAATAGATAAAATTTTTTATTTTTCTATTCGATGTGATTCATCCCTTAGAGGGTTGAAGTGTGTGAATTATTTTTCCTTTCTCATATCATGCTTGAAAGCAAAGAGTAGACACTTTAAAGAAAATGCTTACTAACCAGAGCTGAAAAAGCGAAACAATGACTGTATTTAGAGAAATAACATGCGAAGTGATGAGTCGCTCTGAAACTCCAGAAATTCTTAGTAAAAAAATTTTTTCCTGTTTTAAAACCGCTGAGCAGGTAAGAGAAAGGGGTACATATTTGTTTGCCTGCAGGATACTGCATGTTGCTGTTTGTGGCTTCCAGCCTAGAATAAATGAAATCTCATCCATCATCAGCTGCTCATTGACTTCCCCGCAGCGTTAACGTGTGTGAACCTTTTTCAGGGTTATTTTGATAAACTGTGTTAGTGTAGGTCTAACTCAGCTTTTACGAACCCCTGCTGAAGGTTTTTCACATCACTTTAACTTGGGTTATTTACAGTGCATTCAAACACTGTTGACACCCCTTGAATTATATTCGATTTTTTTAGATTTTGGTACAAACCTAAATGTATATAATTAAAATAGGTGTTTGTTTTGTCATTGATCAGCACAATTGTGTGCTTTGTGTTTACCTTAACTTTTTCACACACAGAAACACCTAAAAAGTGTGGAGTCTAACTTAAAGTTTTGCCAAGCTCAATCAGATAAAAAAAACAACTTTTTTGGATAGTTGGTTACAGATGATCTTCTGGATTTAGGACTGGACTTTGACTAGGCCATTCAAACATATAAAAACACATTGATCCAAACCATCCAACTGCCTCTGGCTATTTAATTTTAGGGTCTTGTCCTAATTGAAGGTGAATTTCCATAGCAGCCTCAGATGTTTGTTTTGGTTTCTTTTTAGATTATTTCCTACAAGATCATCCTGTTTCTGACTCCTGATCAGCTTCCCTGTTCCTATTGAAGAACCACCATGGTAGGATGAAGGCACCACCTGGTTTAACGATGCAGCTATTGTCCTTTCATTTGGCTTTAAATTGCATTGAGTTGGATGCATGGTTTTTTTCCAGCAGTTCAGCCTTCTTCTATATAATCCTATGCATCCATGGTTTCTGTTTTTCCTGTGACAGACTGGCCATCTGTGCAGAGTTTAACCTGCCTCTCACACAATGTCAGTTGTCCTCAAAGAATTAAAGACACCACTAAAACTAATTTAAAATATGTAATTTTACCCACTGGCCCTCAACCCAACTGAGATGTGATGTTATGTAATTTGTACTGCTGGAGTTTCTATCAGTTTTTTTTAAAGCTTTTTTTTTTTTATAGTTTTTTTGTTGCACGTTTCTTCATTTACTATCTTAATTTGATTGTTTTTTGATGTTCAGCACTCTGAGCTGTGGCTGGTGTAAAAGTGCGTTCTAAATAAAGTTGTTGATGTTGATAATAATTCAAATGGTTAAGAATCAAAAGCATGTTGTGTCATTTCATAAAAATCATTATACTACTGAAGGCCTATTCCAAGTCATAGCGAAAGTGAAACTGAAAAGCGATGCAGTAGATTGGTCCAGTTTGTGGAAACAACTTATCAGCAGCTGAAAATGCTGCTCAGTAGTTTGTATGAGGTGCTTGTACAAAAAGTTGGATGGGATACCAGGAATCTCCTTCCAGATCCTGATCTGGGCATATCTGAACTCCTGGACAGTCTGAGGTGCAGCCTGGTTAATGAACCTAAAGATAACTTAAAGAGGCGGTTCCCTCATCCTCCAGGAAAGGCCTCCATCTTCTTGCCATATGAGGCACCTTCAAAATCCATGGGTCTAAAGAACTCATCCTGGTATCCTGCAGCAGTCCAAGTACGGTTGTTTATCCGCGCAGGCAGGTCTGCACAACCTCCCCCCAGGCTATAACACTGACGTACCAGTCATGCTCAACAATGTCACACCATAATGTCTCCTCAGCCTCTCCACAGTCTTTCACATCTGTCACATCAACTTGGAGAGATCAGGGCCGGCCCCACACAGAAGCAAACAAACTGACTGCGAAGGGCCCCTTTGCAGGTAGGGAGGGGGGCCCAAAGAACAAGAAATTGTCTTTTTTTTTGCATGTAGATTTATTTCTATGTAACCATAGTAACAAAATCAAACAATGTTATGATAGAAATTGTGCACTCATTAAACATATTTAATTAGTTTTTTTTATGGGGTTATGTTTGTAGAGTTACCTAGTCAAAATTTTGGGCTATTTAGCCTCAAAAAAGAAAAAAAGAAAAAAGAAGGAAGAAAATTGGAGGTTATATTTCTAAGTCATATAATCACCATAATATCCATACATTTATAAATACGACACTTCCAAAAATAATATTTAATTAGCGTGTTGAATGTTTAATGTTAAATAAACATTTAGTTGAAAAACTATATTTAGCTGTTTTTTAAATATTTAGTTCCAATCAAATGTGAATATTTAAGTCAATATGCAATAAACATTTAGATTGCTAACTGAATGTTTAGTTTTAAAATTAATATTTAATGTACACACAAATGTTTATTATGAAATAAGTACTCAATTTACAACTAAATATGTTGTTTTACAGCTAAATATTTTGTTTGAAAAATAGTTATTAAATTAGCTAATTAAATGTTTAGCTTACACAAAAACATTTAGATTGGAACTAAATATTTAATTGAAAGCTGAATATTTAGTATGCAAAGTAAATATTCAACGTACTAATTCAATGTTTAGTTTGGAAATGTGATATTTGTATATGATTATATGATTTTGAATTATTAATCCCAATTTTTTCCTCTTATTTGAAACTAAACCCCCCAAGAAAATAAGAAATATTTGACCAGGTAGCTTTACGTATGGCACCCTGGATGACAACCAGAGAATTAAGGACACGTATAAAGTTCTTTTTAAATTAATCTTTAGAGAACAAAGATAATTTTTAATATTTTCATGTTTGTTTGATTTAGCAATGTCTGTTATTGTACAATTTAGCTTACTTTTATATATATATATATATATCAAAGCTTTATTACATGTTGTGAATTGGCACTATATAAATAAACTGAACTGAATTAAGATTACATATTCATTCATATTAATATATAATCTAAATATTTATTAATCCCTCCATGCAGGTGGTGTTGGGCCACCTGTGAAGCCGCTGTAGGCTCGAGGTATTGCTTCATGCTAGTATTGACACTGCACTGGTCAAATGAAAGTAATTTCTGTGGGAGCTGTTTTTAGGGTCATCTCATTGTTTCCCCGTTTGGTGCCTGTTGTTCATTTAATTAACGCAAAAAAATTCACAAAACAAAGAAATTTTGCAAATTTGTCACAATAGTTATCATAATAGATAGCATACACCTTCACTGACCAGTCGTTCCAAGAACTTGCCAAACTAGTTCCGCACTAGTATTTCGGGAAATTAACACACTATCTAGGGTGGTATGTTGGCTGCATAATACAGACTGTTGCATATTTGCAACAATAGGCATCAGTGGATTAACTGACTAGATCAATATTCCACAAAGCTTAGATTTCGCACTCTGATGTATTTGTGTCAGTGTTTCCTTTCCTTACCCTTTTTTAACAGATTATTTTAGCACCACTTTAAGTCCACATTGAATCTCAAACTAAAATATGTATAAAATTGAATTTAAACAAATAATACAACCATTTTTGACATCTACTTAATTAGTTACGCTAACCAAAAATGAATATTCGGGACTAACTCTTTCAATAAAACTTTACCATTTATATGTTATAAATAGCTATGAGACATGAAAACAGATTTTGATAGAAATGGCAATCTTACTCAGATCAGATAAGTTGCTTAGAGTTACAGAGGTGAGCTGATGCACAACTGGCAGGTATTATTAGGGCTTCAACAGACTTACACATCATCAATGATAATAATCCTAAAAAGTAACTAAATACCATTAAGTAAATGCCAAAAACGGTTGCATTATTTCCTTCATTCTGGTGGGGTTGAAACATGATGTGCTTATAAACTGATAGATTTATTAGTGAAAGATTAGCGAGATAAAATGCTGGATGCAAGCGAAGACTTAATGTTAAAACTGAATGAAAAGGTTCTTCAAACAGTTTAAGACTGTGTCTCTTTTTAAAAACATTTTTTCATCCCTTGTTTGTCCTCTAACACCTTTGATCCTTTAATCTTTGGGGTTAATATTCATTTATATGTTGAAACACTTATCATTCTCACTTATTTTTACATAACAAAACCTATCAATTAAAAAGTTGTTTGTGTACTTGTGAGTGCCACTGATGGTACATCTAAATCGATCAAAGTTATTTTACAAAAATAGTCATTTAGTGTTCTGACAAGCACGGCCACTGTGATTGTTTCTATAGAGGAATCCTGCTCAATAAACCAGAGAAAGCTGCGTCGTGTAGATCGCACTTGTGGTCATGTCTCAGCAGATTAGATTAGAGTATTGAGGTTTCTGGTTGATTTTGTGGACG